GGCTCCATGCTGTCTTCAAGTTGTACCTCCTCAAAATCTGGAACTTCCTCAAAATCTTGGTACTCCATAACTTCCTTCTTTGTGGGGCCCGACAGGTCTGAGGTAGCCTTAGTAGCAGGAGTTTGGGTGGTTGCCAGCATCTTGTTCTTTCTCCCAATACAGCTCACCCAGGACATATATTTTTTTTTAATAGAAAACTATAGATTCTTCAATGGCAGTGATGTGCTCTGACAGCTGGCTGTATCACTGCTGGAGTTCATCCACTTGATTCTGGTGCTCTACTTTGTTGGTCAGGTTGTGGATGAAGCAGATTTTCAGCTTCTTCTTGGGAACCTGTGTGTCTATCTTCCTGTCCCCAGACATAGCATGCATGGTTCCAGCTCTTAGGGAAGAGGGCCTAGTGCTATAGCTTTATCTGGCATTGGGCTGCCAGGTTGGCCAGGTACTCTTAGTGAGCCTGCTGCTCCTGCAGCTGCCAGCCAAGTTTTGCCTTCTTTGATTCAGCCACTGACAGAGCTTCAAGGCAAAAATCCCACATGGGTTGTCTATATCCTCTGGACAGTTACATCAGGTGGTTACCTCCTTACCCTTTCTTCTTTGCTCAGTCCTTCACCTTTCCTAGAGAAAGCTCAGGTGGGCCCACAGCTGCTCACTGTTGCTCCCAGGCACTTCAGTGTGTCCTGTCACTTCTGATGCATGGGTCTGGTCCCCCAATGGGCTTTGCACCTGTTCCTGCTTCAGCTGCTCCAGCAGCTGGGTGTGCTGTTGCAGGGCCTCCTTCTCTGAGGCCTGATGCTGATCGGAGGCCAAGTGCTGCTCACAGGTGATTCTGACCTCCTGAAGCTGGGCCAGTGACTGGTCATGTAGCTCCTGCGGATTCTGACCCATCTGACTCTCCCCCCCCCCCCCTTTTTTTTGGTCAGTTGTGGGGCTTGAACTCTGGGCTTGGGCGCTGTCCCTGCGCTCTTCAGCTCAAGGCGAGTGTTCTACCACTTGAGCCATAGCACCACTTCCGGTTTTCTAGTGGTTTATTGGAGATAAGAGTCTCACAGACTTTTCTGCCCAGGCTGGCTTTGAACTTTGATCCTCAGATCTCAGCCTCCTGAGTAGCTAGGATTACAGGCATGAGCCGCTGGCACCGGGCCCATCTGACTCTAACTCAGCAATGTCTTTCCATTCTTTTAACCTCTCCTCTAGCTGGTCCAGCTTCTCCTACAGATGTTTCTTTGCCTGCTTCTCTGAGTGTAGGATGCTGGTGAGCTCCACCTTCTCACCATTCAAACTATGGAAAGCATCATGCAGCTGGGCCAGCTGATCTTTCAGCTCTTGGTTGTGCACAAGTGTGTATCTTATGGTCTTATTTTTCCTTCCCATTGTTTTAAGGATCTTGTATTGATCCTCGGCATGCTGATTCCATTCCTCAGCCACCTTCTCCAGTATCCACAGCTGCTGCTGTTGTTCCAGATTCTGGAGACTGAGGCTCTGGCTTTCCTATATCTGGATGTGAAGTTGTTCTTTCAGGTTCTTTAACTCCTGCATTTGGTGGGCCTAGGCTGGCAGCTGCTGTTCAGCCTGAGATGGTTCCACAAGGGTCTGTGGGAAAGGCAGCTCTGCCAGCTGCTTTCTTAGTTCCAACAGGTTGGTCTCTAGGTCCAACACTTACCTCATCCCTTGTTCTTTCTCTTCTCTCCGTTGGTTCATCTGCTCCAAGAGCTGCAAAACCTTCTCCTTTCATGTGGAACTCTTCACCTCCAGGTCCTCTGCAAAGTTCTCTCTCTCCAACTTTAGTTCTGCCACCAACTTTTTCATGCTATCTAGTTGTCTTTCCAACTCTGCATTCCTCTAGTGCTTGTTGTAATCATGAATTTTGATCTTCATATTGGCCTTCTGTGTGAGGAGCACTTTCAGCCTGTCCTGCAGCTCAGTGTTCTCTTCCTCCAGGTTGTTATAGCTTCTCATCTTTTCCTGGAGCTGAAGCTTCAAGTTATTCAGGTCTTGAATGAACTCTAGGTTGTCTGTCTCATTTTGCGTGGTGGAGACTGCAGACAATGTTATCTCTAGCTCTGTGATGGCTGCTGTGAAGCCTGCCTGCTCCAGTTTTTTTCCACTGGCCACTTGTTACATGTGGGCCAGGGCAGACTGTAAAGCAATTTTTTTCTGAAACCAACATCTGTACTGATAGCTTGTGGAGCTCCAGCTCTGTTTTCAGTGTTTTCTTTTTTTTTTGGTCGGTCGTGGGGCTTGAACTCTGGGCCTGAGCGCTGTCCCTCAGCTCTTCAGCTCAAGGCGAGAGCTCTACCACTTGAGCTACAGCGCCACTTCCAGTTTTCTGGTGGTTTATTGGAGATAGGAGTCTCATGGTCTCTCCTGCCCGGGCTGGCTTTGAACCGCGATCCTCAGATCTCAGCCTCCTGAGTAGCTAGGATTACAGGCGTGAGCCACCAGCTCCCGGCTTGTTTTCAGTGTTTTCTGAATACAGGCCATCTTCTCATTCTCTTTCTCCTCTTGATCCTGCAGGTCTTTCTTTTCCTGCTTCAGCTGTTTGATCTTACTACAGAGCTACTGGTTTTGTATTCTACTGGAGTCCAGGGCAAGCACCAGTTGTTGGTAGCACCTTTCTAGACTTTCTGTGCTTTGAGGACATGTGACTAGCTTCTCTGACTGTGCCCAAGGTTGGGCAAGACTCAGGGTCAGTGTGGTCTCTGGTTGCTCCCTCAGTTGAATTATATTCCCCAGTGGTGTTGTCTTAGGGTTCCCTCCCCTTTTAGTTTTCTTCTTTTTCTTGGATTCTACAGGTCCATCAGGACAACTCCTCTGCTGGTATTTTTGTAGTAGTTTCTTTCCTGCAGCTAATTTTTTTTGTCTTGTTTGCTCAGACATCCTAGCACTGGGACAGAGAAGATAGGGAGGTGACATTCCCAGGCTCTCTGAAATCATCTCTAGTTTCACAATTACCACCTACTATGTCTACTTCTTAATGTATCTCTGAAACCACCTTGATTCTCTCTCTCACCCAGCACTTCTACTTCCCTTAACTGCTAGTAATGGTGTAATTCAACAGAGGAATGAATATCAGTGCTATTAGGCAGCATGGAGTGTGGGTATGGCCTCAATTCTTGTATCCCATTGGTCAGAGAGAAACATGAAATAGGAGGCATAGACAGAGTGGAGACACATTGAGAGCTGCTCCTGTAGCCCTTCCCCCATACAGTTCTGTCCATTTGGGTTGGGGGAAGGGTAGGACTTGCTTTTGCTGGATAGTTGCACTGTTTTACAAGTCACCTTTCCTGGCTTCCATCACACAACTGTGGGTCACCAGAGTTTCCACCAGGCTTCCAACTGCCCTTCAGGAAGTAGCACCAAGAAAAACAACTATCTGCTCACATCCGAAGCCTTCCAGGTCTTAACTCCATGCAGAATTAGCTCTATTGCTCTGACCATATTTGCTGACACTTGTATTCTAATCAGAGAGCCACTGAGGTTTCATAATGGCCTGATATAACCTGTTCTTCCCCAGTCCCTGTGGGACTGAAAGGTTCAAGGACATCATGGGTCCAGGCTTCTCTCCTGGAGTACTGTCCATGCTGCATACATAGGCCATGCATAGCACAGCACATGTTCCACACATTTTGGCTGGTGATCTCAGAGGATTCAGAAACACAATTATGGGAGGAATGAGAATGTCTGAGAATTTCATGCTGTTGCTGTCCAGGAGTATGTGAAAACCAACCAGAACACAAACAAGAATAACTTGCAGATGACTGAAAACAAATCTGTTAGCTGAGCAGTCAGCTAACCAGCCTCATCCAAATGACATCCAGTATATCCAGAATCCAGGTTCTGGGGCAGCCCTCTACCACTCCAGAGCCCTTGGACATCTACTCAGCATTGGAGTCAGCCTAGAAATCAGCATTTTTAAAGAAAGCGTCACAGATAATTAAAAAATGCAGCCACCAATGAAAGCCTAATTCTTTAACTTTATAAAAGAGGAGAATCAAGCCCAGAGAGGTTAGAAGAGTTACTTAAGCTATCAAGATTGGTCAAGAGAAATACAAACTTGAGTGTTCTGACTTGAAGTTCATAAACAGACTACAGTGCTTTTAGGATGATTCAGAATAACTCTAGATAGAGCATGTTATTTCTAATAGGGAAGGCTGTACAGAATAATAAAAATAGAAAGAAGTTATGGGACTTTAGTGAATGAAAGAGAAGTCTGCTAAAAGGGAAATGGGATTAACTGAAATGGGGAAAGAGAGAAGGGATTAGTTAGTACAACCCTGTGATACTTTGCACAGCCTACCAAAAGAAGAATCATGTATCTGCAAGACTGTAGCTTTATAGTTAACTGAAGCGAAGGAACAGGTTAAATACAGAAAGCTAGAGCAACCAATCATCAGGGGATGTATCTAGCAGGTAGATACTATGATATCACTAGGTCAAAATATTCTGCTTCATGCAATTACAATTGTTTTAGCAAATAAACTCTTGCTTTACTGATTAGACGATACCCTTTGCTTGTCAAAAACAAATCCATTAAATCATCATTAGCTTTGGCAGTCAACACGATCTTCCTCTGCTCCCCCCCCCCCCCCAATCTGAGTCGCTAAAAGCTTATTCTGAGCCAGGTTCTGGGTGCATGCCTATAATCCTAGTACCCAGGAGGCTGAGATCTAGGGATGGTGGTTTGAAGCCAGTCAGGTAGGAAAGTCCATGAGATTCTTCTCTCCAATAAAACTACTCGGAAAAAGCCAGAAGTGGGGCTGTGGCTCAAGTAGTGGAGTGCTAGCCTTGAGCACGAAGAGGCTCAGGGACAGTATCCAGACCCTGAGTTCAAGCCCCAGGACCAGCCTACTTCCCCCCCTACCCCCGCCCCCCAAAAAAAGCTTATTCTAAAATGATCTGTAAATATGTGTACACAAACTATAAGACAAAACAAAACACAACAACTCACATGTCATACAGGTATCCACATTCTAATGACATTTACAATTAAAGCATACCTAGCTGGTCATGGGGTGTCCCTCTGAAGAGAATTCTGTATGTGGTAAGGAACAAGGCTCCTTCTGCTGGCAAGAGCTGAGGACCCCCAAGAAGACCTCCAGTGGCTTCTTCTCTGCCATCAGGGTCCAAGAGGACTCGAAGACCTTCACATACAATTTCTTCTCCTGGCAGGAGAGCAGGCCTAAGAATCTTAGGCTAGGTACATAAAAAGCATTTTGTTAGTAAGTGGTTGTATAAAGGGTTATGAATACCATGCTTCTTGAACCTTTCCTTCATTTAAAATGTAACTCTTGTGGGGTTTTTAGCACTTAGGTCAAGGTTATCTTTCATTTGTGGACCTAAAAATCCTAAGCCAGACTTCCCAGGTAACCAAACAAGGGAGATTTGAGAGGAAACAAAGTTTCTAAATCCAAGTGTGAAAAGATTATTTGCAAATTACTTGTTAAAGAGTAAAATCACTGAGAAATAACTCAAAAGTTGGACAATAGACCACTCTGAAACCTTTAATGACCTATCTATGTGTGTTAACAATGTTCTCAGAGTATCTTTTATCTTAAGTTAAAAATAAGGTTGTAAATCAGTATATTGTAATCACAGTTTTTGGACAAAAATGGCTGTGATATGAAACTGTTAAAGATGAAGATGGGGAGAAGGCAAGGAGGACTATAAAAACTTTTGTACAACTTATATTTCTTTAATGCTTTAACTTACTATAAATAGTGCTGTGTATAAATTGAGAAAATAAATATTTAAAATGGATTTGTTGGGCTGGGAAGTTGGCTCAGTGGTAGAGTGCTTGCCTTGCATGCATGAGGCCTTGGGGGTTCGACTCCTCAGCGCCACATAAGCAGAAAAAGGCAGAAGTGGTGCTGTGGCTTAAATGGTAAGAGTGCTAGTCTTGAGCTGAAGAGCTGAGGGACAGCGCCCAGGCCCAAAGTTGAAGTCCCATGACTAACCAAAAAAAAAAAAAAAAAAAATTGTTCTTAAAAAGACCTGTCTTTGGCCAAGTAATGAACATATATACATGAGAGATCGGATTCAGTATCCTTTGTATGAAGAAGCATATGATATATTCCTGTTAAGTGATTAGTTTTTTAAAAAAGCAATAAAAACCCCACATACAACAACATTATTCTTTGTTAGCTCTAGGAAGCTTAAAGATGAATGTAAAATCAATAATAATCATTTTCTTAAATTTTTGATAAAATTTTTTAAAAATTGTTTTTCTCACTTTTCTGTATTCTAATCTCTCTTTTGAATTAATTTGTTATTGGGGTTCTGAACTCAGGAACTCATATGCATTTTACCACTTGAGCCATATATGGACCATGATCCTTTTATTTACCCTCCTGCATACTTGAGATGAAAGGACATGTATATGCTACCACACCCAGCTTATTGATTGAGATGGGGATCCTACTAACTTTTATCTAGGCTGCTCTGATCTTCCCTATCTCTGCCTCCCAAGTAGTGGATTATAGGTATATATCATTATTTAAATTAATTTTGCTGGTACTGGGGCCTCAAACTGGCTTAGCTGGTGTTCTACCATTTAAATTGTATCTTTATACATCCAGACTAGTTTTTTGTTGATTATTTTGGAGATGGGAGTCTTGTGAACTTTGCTGTCCAATCTGGCTTTGAATGACTGTTCTATCTCAACCTCTTGAATAGCTAAGATTATAGTAAGTTTGAGTTACTGGCTCCCAGCTCTGAATTTATTTATTTAGTCAGTCCTAGGCCTTGAACTCTGGGTCTACTGCGCTGTCCCTAAGCTCTCTACCAGTTGAGCTACAGCACCACTTTGGCTTTTTCTGTGATTAATTGGAGATAAAAGCCTCATGGACTTTCCTGATCAGGCTGGCTTTGAATTGTGATCCTTAGATCTCAGCCTTCTGAGTCACTAGGATACAGGAACAAGCCGCCAGCACTGGGCTCTTAATTTATTTTTTAATACTTTTGTTACATAGGCAAGAGGAAGATCCTAAACTTACTCCATGCATTAGTATCAAATAATCATCTAAGGGGCTTATTTTAAAATAACAGATTTGTACATCTCTGAGTATTCCAATTCAGAAGGCTGAGGTGGGATTCAGGATTCTTTCTCTGAATTTCTAGCTGTTTGTCCTAGGTAGATTCAGGAACCTAGTATTTCTGTGGCAATTGCGTGCGTGCGTGCGTGCGTGTGTGCGTGCGTGTGTATGTGTGTGTTAGAGGAAGTTACAAGCATCAAACCTTAGGTTGGGCTTGGAAGTTAGAATTACTCATAACTTATTACCTGCTTATAAAAATGGGTCAACAAAAGATTATTGTTCTTTTGCAGAATACAATAAGATATACTGTTGCCATTTTAGTATCTTTTTTTTATAAGGTTCTACATGACAAACTTCTCTCCACATTTAATGTACTATTAAAATTGTATCTATAAACTGGAAGAGGTACTTTCTGGAGCATAACAGTCTATTGCTTTTTTTTGGAAGCGAAGTTAGACCTTAAAAATTAACAATTTGGAATAATTACCTTCTGTATAGGTGGAAGTCGTCTACTCTCTCGATGTACTGCTTCTAGAGTTTCAATATGCATAGCTACAATTCCTAGGATGAATTAAAGTATTCAAAATAAAAGCACAAAACAAGCAAAATAAAAACAAATTCTAAATATATTAGAATTGAAAACTAATAAAATTTTGGGTTACTCACAAAGCTAAACATGCTGGGCGCCAGTGGCTCATGCCTGTAATCCTAGCTACTCAGGAGACTGAGATCTGAGGATCGCAGTTCAAAGCCAGTCCTGGCAGGAAAGCCCATGAGACTCTTATCTCCAATAAACCACTAGAAAGCTGGAAATGGTGCGGTGGCTCAAGTGACAGAGTATTTGCTTTGAGCTGAAGAGCTCACAGACAGCACTCAGTCCCAGAATTTAAGCCCAACATTGTGAATATAATTTAAGTTGTACACTTAAAAATAGTTAAAACGGCCAGGTGCTGGTGGCTCATGCCTGTATTCCTACTCAGGAGGCTTCGATATGAGGATTGCAGTTCGATGCCAGCCAGGGTAGGGAAGTCTATAACACTCTCCTATCCAATTAGCCACCAAAAAAAGCTTAAATGGAGCTGCAGCTCAAGTTGTAAAACACTAGGCTTGAGCTTAGGGACAGTGCTCAGGCCAAGTTCAAGCCACATTGCGCGCACACGCACGTGTGCACACACACACACACACACACACACACGCACAAAAGATGGTAAATCTTGTTCTGTATTTTATAATAAAAAATAACAATCATAAGATAAATAGTATGCATAAATTACCTGGTAGAAAGGTTGTTGTAGGTCTTATGTTAGAACTCTGTCTTTCTAATATTTGCAAAATGATTACCTGGTATCATGCAATGAAGGCTCTTGATGTGATCCTGAGTAACTCCACTCTCTGTGCAAACCTTGTCAATAAATCGGGTAATAAACCGCACAACAGAGTTGGCAATGTCATTGTTCTCTGAATCTTCAAACCCACTCTCTGTATCATAGCTCTCAGCTACACTTCCTGCAATACTAAGTCAAAGAAAGAAATCATGGTCAGAACACATGCAACAAGTAATTACTACATTATAATCAACAGAATATTAAAATTTGCTCAAACAAATAGATACTTAGGAGGAAGGGCTAGCTTAACTTCATGGCTCCTATAAATGACAATGTAAAATATCATGTTGTATTTGTCTACAATTATGGTTTAAATATGAATATTACTCCAGAAGGCTCGTAGTATTTTTTGGGAAACAGGTGACATTTAAGAAGAAATCTAAATAAGGAGGTGATTCTGTGGCTATTTCAGAAAGTACATTCCAGATTGAGGGAATGAGCACAAAGGCTGTAAGGCAGTACTATTCTTGGACTAAGATGAGTAGTAGCAGGGAGGCCAGGCTGGTTAACATAAGAAATGATGGGAAATAAAGTCACAAACATAGGCTGGGCACAAATCCTCACAGGCACGGCAAAGGCTTTTGAGTTTATTTTCAGAGAAATGAGAAGTTGCTGGAGGGTGGAGAGATAGGGTTAAAGACATAATTAGAGCACCAGTGGCTCACGCCTATAATCCTAGCTACTCAGGAGGCTGAGATCTGAGGATTGCGGTTCAAAGCCAGCCTGGGCAGGAAAGTCCGTGAGACTCTTATCTCCAATAAAAATCACTAGAAAACCGGAAGTGGTGCTGTGGCTCAAGTGGTAGAGCGCTCGCCTTGAGCTGAAGAGTGCAGGGACAGCGCACAAGCCCAGAGTTCAACCCCCATGACCGACGAAAAAAAAACCCCAAAAAACAAACAACAAACCAAAAAAACATAATTAGGCAGTTCCATAGATGAGATGAGAAATAGGAGGGATGAGAAACAATGACTTTGTCAAGGATATTCTCATTGATAATTTTTCAGAGTGATTTCCATGAACTACTTTAGCAGAATGTAACTGAAGGGCTAGATCAGTAGTGGGTGAAACTTTTTTTTTTTTTTTCCAGGTAAGGAGTAGGTTTATTCATCGTTCCGGCTGGCACCAGGCCATCTTGGTCCTCCACGCGGTGGGGAAAGTTATGGGAAAGAGAGCTGGGAGAGCTGGGAAAGAGAGAGAAAATAGCTAGAAAAGAGAGAAAAGAGCTAGAAAAGACAGCGTCTGGGAAAGGTGGGAAAGAGGGAGCTAGGAAAGAGAAGGAAGCTGGGAAAGAGAAGAGAAGGAAAGAGCTGAGAAAGAGCTAGAAAATAGCAGAGAGCTGGGTGAAACTTTTGAAAACTATATCAGTAAAGGGTAAAGAGCACAGGAGTAGATTTAAAATGGGATGAGGTGACAGTCTTTTTAATAAAGAAGACGTAAAGAAAGTCTAAAGTGGGGAAAATGGTTCATAAAAATTATATACAACAATATTTGCCCAAAATGCTTTCAATTTTCTGATAAGCCAAGACTGGCCCCAAGAAGAATAGGAAGAAGGTCCCTGTGTTCACATTTTGGTACCTGTTTGTGACAATGCTGTTGCTCCCACTTTCCCAGTCGCCTGGTGCAGATGCTCTCAGGAGCTTGTTTTTACTTGTATCTAGTGGAACTAGCAGGTTGACCATGAGGTTTGCAAAATGGATGGCCTGGCTGAAAACAGTGCTTTCCTCATGTTGCACCAGCTCTTGCTGAGTTGACTTGCTCAGAGTAGGCCAAAGGCGTAACTGCTCAGCTGCCAGGTCCATTGCTGTCTTTTCATGATACTGGTTATCAGGAAGCCTGTCCTAGGGAACACAGCAATGAAAGAGAACATCTATCACTTCACTTAAAAAACATGGAAAATGTTTTAAATCTACACCTTCTCTTTGGTATATTTTATATGCCACTATATATTCTATTTTCAGAGTATACCAAGAAAATATTTAAAAATCAAGAAAATTGATTTTCTAGAAAATTACAAAAAACTTGTTAAATTATCAGCAGAAATCAAAACTCATAAAGAAAATGTAACAACTACCACAAACAAAACCAACTCTTTCCCACATCCAACCTGCCTTCAGTGGGACCAGATAGTAAAACACAGACAGATGTTCCTGATTGTTTATACTTCACTATATTTAGTCAACTCTACCCGTCACATAATTTGTCAACTTAAAGGTCCTATAAATGCTCATGTACAAATGCTCTGGTATGTAGCATTTACTAAATCATATACTTCTTTTCTGCTCTTTAAGACAATGAGATGGAGTAATCAAGGTCACAAAAATATATTGAGATTTCTTTGTAGATGTGAGAGCCAAACATTATCATCTACATTACTGGAATAAGCAAGTGACTATGGGACTTTAAAGAGAGGTTATAGGCTGAAGAGTTGAATAATAGCAATCTACATACACATAGCATTTTATAGCTTATAAAGAGTAAGGCATCTATCTATCTATCTATCTATCTATCTATCTATCTATCTATCTATCTATCTATCTATCTATCTATCTATCTATCTATCTATCTATCTATCTATCTATCTATCTATCTATCTATCTATCTATCTATCTATCTATCTATCTATCTATCTATCTATCTATCTATCTATCTATCTATCTATCTATCTATCTATCTATCTATCTATCTATCTATGACTCAGACAGACTTCTTTTTTTTTGTTGTTGGTTGTGGGGCCTGAACTCTGGGCCTGGGCGCTGTCTGAACTCTTCGGCTCAAGGCTAGCATGCTATCACTTGAGCCACAGTGCCACTTCCAGCTTTTTCTGCTATGTGGTGCTGAGGAATCAAACCCAGGGCCTCATGCATGCAAGGCAAGCACTCTACCAATGAGCCACCTTCCCAGCCCCCTCAGACAGACTTCTTAAAATGGAAGACACAGCAGCTTTGTGAATGCTTTTGAGAAATGTTGATATTAGTGGTACAGCTGTCCAATATATTGTCAAAAGTACCTAATTACTTCTGGAGCATGATCTCAGCCCAACAGACTTTTTATATCTGTTAGAAGTTACTCCTTAGTGGAACTGTGGCTCAAAGTGGTAGGCTGCTAGCCTTGAGCTAAAGAGCTCAGGGACAGGCACCAAGGCCCTGAGTTCGAGCCCCACAACCACCAAACAAACAAATGAAGAAAATAAAATAATTTTTTAAAAAAGAAATTACTCCTTTAAAGGGCATTTGATGGTTTTTGTTTGTTTTGGTGCTGTCCCTAAGATTTCTTTGCTCAAGGCTCTACTCTTTAAGCCACAGCCCCACTGCTGGCTTTTTTGATGCTTAACTGGAGATAAGAGTTTCACAAACTTCCTTATGTGGGTTGGCTTTGAATCAAGATTCTGAGATCTCAGCCTCCAGTAGCTAGGATTACAAGCATGATCTATTATTGGCCAGCTGCATTTGGTGTTTTGAAAGAAAAAAACATTTAAATTTCACATTGAACTAAACAAATAAATATAGTATAGTACAGTAACAATATTACTATAGTAACAATATTAGAATGTCAGTGTTATTTATTATTGAAGTTTCTATTCTTATTTGAATGGACTAAGTATAAAAGAGTACTAGACATAAATATTTGAACATTACTATATATTTTTGTTAGATACCCAAGATAATTTATCTTATATAAAGCTAATTTAAAATGAAAGATGATACATATTATGTAGAATTAAAAATTTTATGGAGAATTTTTAAGTATATCAACATCAATAATTAGCATTTTAGGAAGCTAAACTTTAATTTATAAAGGTAATTATTTCTAACAGTTATTATTCTAACACTTAATATGTGCCACATATTTTTCAAAGAGCTTTTACACATAGAAAATGTGAAAAATCTATTATTTTTAATGAGGAAATAAGGTATAGAGAGATAAAATGAGTTGTCCAAGACCAGGCAGCTAATAAGAGACATTTAAAACTTTGAGAATATATTAACTTTTTCAAATTAAAAGCAGTTTTCTTGATTTTTAAAAATATTTTCCTGATTTAAATATCTGTAAAAATATAGAAACATATAGAATGTTGTAAAGAAGACCTAAATATTGCTGGCATAGGAGTGTGTGTGTGTGTGTGTGTGTGTGATACTGGGGTTTGAACTCAAGACCTCATACTTGCTAGGGGCCAGCACTATACCCCTGAATCGTGACTTTAGCCCTAATTGCTGACAAATTTTAGAGCAGAACTAATTTTAATTGGTTCTGTTCTTTTCTTTTCCAGTGTTGAGAGTCAAACTCTGAGCTTTGTGCATGTAAGGCAAGCACTCTATCACTGAGCTACATCCCTAGCCCTCAAACCGATAAACTTTAATTTGACTTTTCTTCATGGAAATAAATTGCATAGAAATACAGTTTAGAAATATACTTAGGCATATTTTAGTTTTCTTTTTATTCAATTTCTGGCCATTGTTTTATTAAAACACAATAAAGTAATTCTTGCATTAAAGAACTATGTTAAGAGGTTATTATGGAAAAATATGTCAGAATTAATAGAAGAAAGGGCTACCTACAGCCAACCCCTAATATGTTGAAAGGAAGTGGTTGCATTTCCCACATCCCTGAGATAGCTACATAAGGTTTCCTTATAGTCAAATCTTAGCCTTGCCCAAGCACCTTTCTTTTCTTTTCTTACCTTTTGCTTCAGATGTGAGACATGATTGTCTTCCTTTGCTGAGAGATACAGAGAACGAACCTGTTCCTGCACTGCATTGTAAAAAGTTGTCTCCCAAAACTGCTGATTTGTCCAAATAGGGTGGTCCTGTACACAGGTGTAAGCAAACTGGCTGACTCCAGGAGCAAGTTTCTACAAGGACATACAATATCTATCACCATGGAGCTAGCAGACTAATGACAGTTCACAAGGTCACAGGTGCTACATTTAACCACAGAAGTGATCAAAGGCTTACTAATCAGCATTGAACTCATTTTTAACTGGCCAGTGTGGACTTTCTATTAAATCCTTTATAACCATAATTACTTCCATTTACCAAAATAGGCATTTTAAAAAACAGCTAAAAATCGAATTTATGAATTAGAGATATATGAAAAGTCTTGCGCACAGAGTAGGCAGTAGACAATTAGGAGAACTAGAACATAATCATTAAATACATCACAACCTAAAAAATTAATTTTAATTTTCTTTTACTTTTATTTAGAGTACTTTTGTTTCAGAGCAGACTACAGTTTAGACTAAATTAAAAAAAAACATTATTAAGTTAGATGTCAGAGAACTTACAGCTTAGTTTTCTATCTGGAATGAAGAATTAGCTTGAAGGTTTAAATTATTGCGTAAGGCAATGTAACAATTATGTCAGTGGCAGAAATGTCTTTCAGGTCCAAGCATTTCTGGTTGCAAAGCCTCTGTTCTTTTTACTCTACCAAAATGATCTTCCAAAAAGAACTTCTTGCTTTAGGGCATACTAAACCAAAAAGTGGAATAGACACCAGAAATGCTGTGAACTTGTATGGTTAGAAACAGAGTGATTATGATTTTACCTACAAAAAAGTCTCTGTGAATGGCATGCCATGTACAAGTCCTGTCAGGATAGCACTGAGAACTACTACTGAGCTGATTGGCTATGACTCCATTCTTCCTATTAGGTGGCTATAAATTGGGGCAATGAAGCAAAAAGAAGGTAAGGTGTACAAAGATCATTATTTGTCTTCATGGTATCTTATGGGTTCACTTAAGACAGTTACAGGGATGAGGAATGGCACACTTGATAGGGTGCCTGCTAGCCCCAAGTTCAAAACCCTAGTAATAAAAAAGACACAGTTGCTATCTATTTATAAGAGATCATGATTTTGAGAGCTACATAAGCAGAAGGTAAGGTATACAGCATGAATCACACAGAGATATGTGAGACATGGATTACACAACTTTCCCCCTTTCACATTTTAGCTCCTCATTCTGAGGATTAACAATTACTGCAGTTGTGATACAGAGGCCTATTCAGAAAGATTTTTTTTTTGGTTGTTGTTGTTGCTCATGAGTCTTGAATTCTTGGTCTGGGCGCTGTCCCTGAGCTCTTCAGCTCAAGGCTGGTGCTCTACCACTTGAGTCACAGCACCACTTCTGGTTTTCTGGTGGTTAATTGGAGATGAGTCTCACGGACTTTCCTGCCTGGGCTGGCTTTGAATTGTGATCCTCAGATCTCAGCCTCCTGAGTAGCTAGGATTACAGGCGTAAGCTACCAGTGCCCAGCTTCAGAAAGAATTTTTAAAGGCATGAAATTCAAGTGTGAGGAAAACAAAATTCTCAATTGACTTTCCCTGAATATAGTCAGAGGTAGTAGCATTTCTTTAAAAATGCAGTGTAAGTCAATGAACAACAGCTCTAACATCTTTGGTGTTTGAAATTATATTAATATAGATGAGCTCAGAAAACCTGAGCTCTTAAATCCTTATCAGTTTTGTAAAACATGGTTTTAGGAAATCAATATACCAGAAAGTTATTAATTATAAACTAAAATTTGAGCTCTACAGGAATATGAGGGTTTGATGAAGCCCTCTCTTTCTCCTTCAGCGTTTTTCTCAATGATGTTGCATGTTATCTTTCCTTAGCACATTATCAGCTGAAATAATATCTTCCTGTTTATTCATAAAATAAGACATAAATTAGATAATAACCTTCCTGTTTATAAAAGAAAATGAATATGCAAAAACTTCCCTAGATCTTTTCAACTGAAGTGGGATTGCTTTATGTTCTGAGGCAGAAAAATGGTGCAAAACACTAACAGTGGCCTAAAGTTTCAGAACCTATAACCTGCTTATCAAGTGAGATTACAATAGTGAAGTGATCAAAGATAAATACCTTTGGTGCCTGACATATGCGTAAGAAATCATTATTCTTAAGCACATAAAATATTATTTTTTCCAAAAATGAAATCTCTCTTCTTTCTTTGAGGCTTCCTGCTATGCCTAACTGTGAAGAAGGGGCACATCTTTCCTTCCCAGTTAGAATAGATGGCCACTGCAGATAGGCAGGTATATTCTTGGAACCAGTAGAGGGCAGTAGCACCTTATTTTGCCTAGACTTTATCATAGCTCATTGAGCTAGAAATGGCAAAAGGCGCTTGCAGTTTGGTTGAGCTCAAAAGTGGCTGGAAATTTAAATATTAAATACTGCTTGTCTTCACTGTATATTGGACAGACTCTGAGAGAGACTGGTTTTACCCAATATTGCACAGAAAGATGAGTAGATGAAATTGGAACCAGAATGAGGTTTTCCATTACATGGTTTCTTAAGATATAAAGTAATATATTTCACAAAACAAAATTGTAATATAATTATGAAGAAAAAGGTGTAATGAGACTTTTTGGAGTTTAGTATACCCTGTGATAGTAACAATAGTTTTAGTGAATGGAGAAAATAAGCATTTGTGAACAAAACTATCTTCTAATTGCTTTTCTGGTTTGAAGTGAAAACTTTTCAAGATGGTTTTTCAATCTGGTCAACATGTTATGAGCTTCATGACTGTTATGCTGAACACAGATGTCTATTAGTACATACTCAAAGTGGAAGGGTGATAGGGATGTCATATGGTATCTCTGCTTCCCTTCAATTCTGACAACATTTACAGTTCTCAATAATTCTTATGATTCTGTCAGAAAGAAATAGGTGATATTTTGCCATTCAGTTTTATATGAGATGGTTAAGAATGTGTTGACTTCCTTCCTTATCTAGAAAAAACAGTCCAGAAGATACTAGGTTAAGCAATGTCATTCCACAAAGCTCTCAAAGGAAACCCAGCATGGAACAGGATATGGAGAATAAACTCAATGGGGGTCACCTAACAGCAGGCCAGATCCAAATCCAAATAAATGGATACAGATCATACGAGGAGATGGTCAAGGGAAAGGGTAAGATGTTAGTACAAAAGGATAGACTACAGCCTTGTGGTCTAGGTATGTTTGTTTCCCAAACCCAAGGCTTTCCAACTAGAGAACTCAGAGAGGAAACTAGGTTTTAGGAAAGAAAGCTAGTGGAAGGACTCATTCCATGATCTTAAAAAGAAATGCAGAACTCAAGAGAATCATTACAAGTATAAACACCCTAATTCCTGAAAGCAATCTTATGGCCCACTGAAATTATGGCCCACTGAAATAAGCACTGTTGTCTCTCCCTTGTAAAGATGAGAAAAGATGGCATACAAAAGCTATTTGTCCAGGAGGACATTATTAGCAAGTGGCAGAGCCAGAGCTGATTCAAACCAGTCATTTTTCAAACACTGTAAATTAAACAATCTCCTAGAACTTCATTGCATGAATATACAGCATTTCTTTATTCTAGCTTTTCTTTTGTTTGAACTTTGTTGTTGTTGGTCATGGGGCTTCAACTCTGGGCCTAGGTGTTGTCCCTCAGCTCTTCAGCTCAAGGCTAGTGCTCTACCATTTGAGCCATAGCGCCACTTCTGGTTTTCTGGTGGTTTATTGGAGATAAGAGTCTCACGGACTTTCTGCCCAGGCTGGCTTTGAACCGTGATCCTCAGATCTCAGCCTCCTGATTAGCTAGGATTATAGGCATGAGCCACCAGAGCTCAGCTTTGTTTGAACTTCTTGCATAAACATTATCGAGTAGATTTTCATCTTTTGATTAATGGTTTCAATATCACTGGAAGTACTTCAGAGGGCTCCCAAGAAATATGGCTTATTGTTTTCAATAACAATAAGCATCTGGGGTTTATTGGTCATTAGATGCTTTTTCCATGATAAATTGTTTCATACAAGGTTTTTACAAATCCACTATTTAAAAAAGTTAAAATACTTTAATACTGAATAATCAATTTAAGGTTCAAATTTGTAAGTGTGAAAGAATTCCCTTTTTTCTCATTTTTGTTAGTTTTACAATCAGCTTTTAAAATTCAAGTAGGGGGCTGGGAATGTGGCTTGGTGGTAGAGTGCTTGCCTAGCATGCACTAAGCCTGGCTTCGATGCCTCAGTACCAAATATACAGAAAAAGCCAGAAGTGGCGCTGTGGCTCAAGTGGTAAGAGGACAGAGGACAGAGCCCGGGCCCTGAGTTCAAGCCCCAGGACAGACCAAATAAAAAAGTCAGTTAAGCTGGGCGCCAGTGGCTCACGCCTGTAATCCTAGCTACTCAGGAGGCTGAGATCTGAGGATTGCGGTTCAAAGCCAGCCACTAGAAAACCAGAAGTGGCGCTGTGGCTCAAGTGGTAGAGCACTCGTCTTGAGCTGAAGAGTGCTGGGAGAGCGCCCAAGCCCAGAGTTCAAGCCCCACGACCGACCAAAAAAATAAAAGCCAGTTAAAAAAAATTCAGGCAGAATCCAAGTATGGTCATATAATGCCATTAATTTGTATATTACTAAGATGAGTTTTAATCCACAGGTTTTGGCTAGTTGTAGTTTTAATCAAACAAGATCATCTGCTCTAAAGAGTTTTGTCCAGTCTAGTGGCTTGCTGGCAATGTCCCATTGGTGTCATTTGGCATAATTTTTTGGGCTCTATGCTTCCTACAAACTGGAAGTTGTCTATAGGTATCTGATCAGTTTGAGCTTATCTGGCAAGAACATTCACAGATAGTATCATCCGTAAGGGGAACATCTGATATTGTCTCATTTTGTGATATCAGAAGCTATTGGTAGTCAATGTTTAGAGTCATTTATCATTATAAGTAGTAAAAATTGATATTTTAATTCTCCCTTACATTACTGGAAATATTATTGTAAAGAGAAATATTATTATAACATTAAATTATAAAGAGAAATTTCCTTTCATCTCTCTCTCTCTCTCTCTCCTCTCTCTCTCTCTCTCTCTCTCTCTCACACACACACACACACACAC